TTTTTCTTTCGAAAAGCGAAAGAAAGTGCGAAACAGCATCTATTATTTCCACAGTTCTTAATAGTAAATCATGCTAGACTTCGACCTGAACGTATTGAAAGGTCCCTGGTTAGATGTAGTGGCGAATTTCATGTAATATTGTTTCAGATGTAGTGGCGGCTTGTGCCTCAACAAACTGAGTTACTATTTTATTGAATGACAAGAAAGTAATTTCCAAAATTCAGAACACACGATCTATTTATAAATAAAAGGGAATGTGCGTATGTCTGACACATAAAGACGCAAAAACTAGTCGACCGATTTCGCTGAAATATTCACGCTTTGTTCTTATTAGTATCGGGAGTATTTACAAAGTCGTTTGAATCAGACATGTGCGAGCGTTGTTGATGACTCGCGTTTATGACAAACGCCCCTGAACTAGGCAACCCACCGCACCGTCAAGTATTAAGCTGGTATGGGTGCATATTCTGCCCCTGCGATTGTGAAATATCGGGCGGAATTTCGGTCAAGTAAATCAAATTTCTTCAAGACGGTGTCATAGCGAACGCTTGCCTAATCTTTAGGGAGAACATTTTCATAATAGGATACTTGACAACCATGACCAAACCAGGTCATATCACTTTACCATTTGAATAAAATGTTGAAGACTTGGATTAGACCTTTCGAGTGTCTTAATGTCTACTCCTTCAATAAGGTATGAACCGAAAGAAATTTGTATTGTACTGTTTGTATTTGTACCGTTGCACTACATTCATTGTCTACTACCAGGAAAATAAATATTGAAATCTTATGCAGAAAATTGGTAATGATTCTTACTTCCTTGAGGAAGATGATATTTTTGGCAGCAGCAGAAGCAACAACACATAACTCTGGCTGGCATATCGCTTCAAGTTTTGCTGCATTACACTGTGGGATACTTTGTATCCTGTCAGTGCAATGTGTTAGAGTCATTTCAAAATGAAAATCTGCATCCTTTTGCTTATAACGAAATGGGCATTTGATGGCTCTTCAGGTCACAGCTCTTACAAGCCGGCATTTCATCATTATATTGCTGATGATTCTTCCACGAAAGCGTTTCGTCAGCCTTTTCCGATAGGGCAATGTACAGAGGAATTCCAAGAAGCATCCAACAAACATTTTAAGAACAATAGGAAGTACTACTCCCGAAAATGTTTTCGTGAAAACATTGTGATATCTTGAATTTACTTCTGATAAGTTCAGATACCCTTATCACCAGCGTGAGAAAATTACTAAAGAAAAATATGCAAAGCCTACCGAGAAAACAGCAAAACATTTTGATACAACCACCTGAGCATTTTGATCGTTCGGTAAATTTTGTGGACAGCGGAGATTATTTTGATGGCACTGTTTGTAGTACTGAGTATGGAGATGATTTTCTCGTGATGAAGTTCTACTGAATTTGTGTTTTAATTTGTATAATTCAAAAAAACTATGTACTTTATTACCTTTCTATTAAAACACTATTTAAACGTATTCCTTGTTTTGAAATAAAACCCTTCTGCCTTAAAAATAATTTTCATTTAAATGAAAGATCAAAATTTACGTTACACCATTTTTTCCACCACGAATTTCTTTTTACAATCATGTGAAATATATGATTTACCTAAATTAAGTGCAGCACTGTGTGGGGACTTTCTTTCACACGGCCAGGTTTACACAAAATAAACTGCACTCATCAAATGCACATTTTTAATTAGCATACATATCAAATAAAAATAAATTCACCGAACATGAATAATGCATTCAAGAATTGACTGAATTTGTGTACTTTCAATGACGCACGAAATTCATAAAATTAAGATGCGACTAGATTCAGATGAAGACGGAAAATTGGTATTCCCCTCGGCGCCGAAAGCCGAAGAGGACCCCCCCTCCGCTCTGCGAAATAAGCTTAAGCATTACGGAACGAAAACACATAAGGGCATAATGTTGACGCACAGGGACGTGCGCGGCCAGAATTATACGCACGAAGTCTATAAGGACTTCGTGGTGAACGTTGTGGACTTCGCAGTATACGTCGATATTGCTGCATTATTTCGAATATTGGATGTAATAATGCGAAGTGGCCATCTCGGGATCACACGAACAACCCACCGGGATTCAGTCACAACCCAAGCACGACCCGCCATTTTTCAGATGAACGTCGGGTACTGGAAGTGATGCAGAACAGTTTTGTATGTGTGTCTTGGCATTCGAGTTTTTGTTATTGACAAAGTGTTAGGATCTAATACTTAGCAAAATAGAATCCAGCAGAGACCGCAGCAACCTGAAATGAATTTGTCTATGAGTGTGCGAGGAGGCCCGCAAATTATGTAGTGTTAATAAGATTCGAAATATTACCAGGAACTGCTTTCTTCGACTCTTGGAATGGAAGTGTGGAAAATGTAATTGATTGAGTGACTACAGAGAGTTAATATAAATTTCGAAATAAATAAATCCAAAATTTTTCAAGATTTAATACCGTCATGGAAAAATAATTTCACGATATATTCCAATAAACATTGCCTTTTAATTGACATATGTTAGAAATGGTATTACCATTACTACCCTTTTTTTGTTTCGTTGTTATTAGTTCAGGACAATGGTAGAGTAAGTGTAGTGTCTGAATTATGTTCTTATTTATTTGTACACAAATATACCATGTAAAATATAATAGTATAAAGATAGCTCCCATGGGACCATTAAATGTACATTCCAAGAAATAGCAAAATTACGAAACTATGAACCAAACAAATTTGCCGTAAAAAGCCGTGATGGTGGAGGGGGAGGCATTGGGAAAGGCTTGCTATGGGCGCCATTTTACGTAGTCATGCCACTAATAATGATCCATGTATTTAGCAACAATTCAAAATCCTTTTCTGCACGTTTGGGTTAAAATCTTTTCAGATTTTAAAGTTCTGCAAGGACATTCATATTTTGAATATATTCGATACTTTCCGCAGGAATACAGATGGCAGGGCCCTTTTTAAAGACATGGTTTAACATTCTCTATGTTGCTCTGATTGCAGAAGTGTTCCCTACATTCTTAGACACTAAAATAAGGTTTTAACGTTATTAAGACTGGCTCATAGAGAACGCCGGAATGTCCACGAAACGATTTTATATGGCGACGGTTTCCTTCTTCTTTTTTTTTTTTCTTTTGTAAACATTCGATAAGCCTTGAAAGCCGAAACTATCACTAATGGTTCAGGAAGGTTTTCATAAAAAAGCCCTAAAACATAAAACTGTAATTCCTCAGATAAACTAAGATAAAAGAAATTAGAGGTACAACAGCACATACCTTCTCGCATTATATTACGGCTCCACAATATTATACTACCTTTAGCAGATTTTGTTGAGGACAAAAACCTTTCTTCAATTTTTTAGTTTTGCTTTGTTTTGTAGTTTTCAAACTTTTTGCAGTTTTTGAAAATACAGAGTTCGCCAGAAATGAGACTAGCACTAATATTGCCCTGACTCTTGAAACGAGAAATTTTAAAGAAAACAATCGGAGCATTTTTGAGTAAATACTTTAAAACCTTATTTCATGCAACATTAAGCGAAAAGTTGCAGATGACCTTATTTCAAGATGCCGTTTCACAACAGATTTCAAAGTGAAAAAAAACTCTATCTTCGATATTGTAGTTGTAGAAAGACGTCAAAAACATTTTGAACTTATGCAATTTTTAAAAAATCGCGGATTTAAATGAAAATGAGATCTGCGGTATTCATTTTTTAAATGTTTTTACAGTATCTGAAAACAAAGTTTAATCAAAAAATTTTAAGTCATTTTTAAAATATCCGAACACAAGAGTGCCGCGGGTTCATTTAAATCGATCGAAGAATATCAATTTTGAAGAAAATCAGCTGAAAGGTTTAGGCGTTAGCGTTGCCCATATGATAACAATTGTTTGGTATTAAGATCCCACAAAACGAGGATTCTGACTATGCAACGTGATGAATGTAATTTACTCCCTATAGGAACGAGGTTTATCCACTTTTTCTTCACCAGGGCCCCACAATACGAGTTTTTCAGATAAAAATTCGTCGATATCTGCCACAGCATTACACTTTCTTTAAAAAATCATTAAAAACTCTGCGCCACCGAGAGAAAATCCAAGCTCCGGTGCAAAGAATGTTTGTGACCCCATCAAAAATGGTAGACATATGTGTATATTATTACTTACTTCGATTATATTGAAATATGCAGAAAAGACATTCTTCGGTCAATGTTCACAACGGTACCATCACCGAATGCGCGGGGTCTTGGGACGCGACTTCACACATTGACCCACGCGTCTTTCAATTTTTTAAATCCCTTTAACTTGCAAAAGTGAAAAGAAAATCTACGATAAAAATTAAATAACCGTTCACATTATAATAAAATTTGCGAAGCGCTTTGGGCTTGATTGGTCCCCTTGGGCTCCACGGATCCAGAAGCGATGCACTCGATGCAGCTCGCTCTCCTGTACTTCGATTTAACGTGGCGTCTCAAGGTCACGCACGAAAAACAAGCAAGGAAAGGCAGACTCCAATAGGGAGCCGTAAAAGTGAGAACTGGGGTGATGTTGCAGCTCAACTGTATTTAATTTATTCGTCAAAATATTATTTTGTGTTTTACTTCCACGGATCGCAAAATGTACACAGGCGGATTGTGAGTAATGCACAGTTGGTGTACACTTATGACAAAAAACAAACAAAAAACGATGCACCCAGAAGGGCAAGATGGATTGCGATTATTGGCTGGCAGATAGATGTATCGCAAAAACGAAATGATTACAATTTCACATTTGTCGGACCAACATTTATTGTGACGGTCGAAGGTTGACCAGGGAGCAGGTGGAGTAGGCCAATGCCCATACAACTAAATGCCAGAGATGCCCCCAGTAATGCGGGTACTCTGACAGAAGAGCTTTGAGAACAGCGTCAAGAGCGGAGTATGGTCAGCGTCCTTGTGGCGGTTCCAGGGTGCTCTCTGAGTACAACTCTGAGAAGAGCTAATGAGACAAAGGCGAGGGCGAGTCTCTGGCGCCTTAAAACGGGAACACTGGCTAAGGGAAGAAAAACTCTTACAGAAAACCAAGGGCGGAAGGAGCTCTTCAGGCATCGCCAGTTCTTTTACGGGAGAAAATCCTAAAGAAATCCTGCAGGCCGGAGGCAGCAAGGTTGGCAACCTCAACCACCGTGCTAACCTTGCGCAGCGCACGTAAGTAACGGGACACATTAACTTACTGACAAGCAAAGTTGTAACAAGCCGGACCGACATGATAAACTTGGTAAGATAATGGTACAACTGTTAATATGAACATGAATGTTAGGGGCCTTAACAACAAAGAAGTTGAACTTCTGGAGAAAAAAGAAAGCAAACATTATGGTTATAACAAACAAAAAAGAAATTAAGACGTTCGGAAGATATAGATTACTTGTATATCATGGAGTAGAACAGACCAAAAGAGCAGCGGCAGGAATTGCCATTATTATTGACAATAAATGGAGGAAAAATACAGTTATACATTTGTGTCAGAAAGAATCCTTTCCATCAGAATTAAGATAAAAAGGGATGTCTAACTATTATTGATGTGTATGCACCAGAAGATGAAAACCAGAAACTAGTAAATTTTACAAAGAACTACACAAGGTTATTGACAAAACAAATCCAAATAAATACTTAGTTTTATGCGGCGACTCCAATGCCAGAATTCGCCGCAAACCAATAAAGAATATAATCGGGACTGAAGGCGAACACACAGAAAATGAAAATGGAGAACTTAGATCTTTTGCAACCTTCAATAAGTTAAGAATGACGAACAGTTTCTTCTGAAAGAAATTCACAAATACACGTGGGCTGACAGACGCTTAGGAATTATTATAGACTACTTCTTAGTAAATCAAAAGATGGCACTGTGGGTCACGGACACTAGGAGTTTTTAGAGGTTTTGGCGTATTTATCACACTCGGTTACATTATCGGTTATCACATTATCGGTTCCCGCTAAGAAAAAAACCTGATGTGAACAAATACACGTGTGTTTGGATGATTCTCATTGGTTTGCAATATATCCGCCGGGGTCCTGACACTAAAGTAAATAGTTCTCTGAAAAATAACTAAATTATCTGCCATCGTTCGTGAAATTAACCTTGCGTCCAAACTATTGCAACGGTTTCAAAAAAGGAGACTATTGTGAACTGCATACGTGTAGCTGGGCGATAAGATTATGAGCCTCTGACAATTCAGCCCACGAACGTGTGACTGACATGGGTCAGGCGCGTGGGCCGTGGCTCGTGGGACCGCGGCGCCGCGCCGCTGATCGACCTGGCCAGCCAGGCCTTGCTTTTCATTTTGTTTTAGAATACCTGTGAGTGTGACCGTAAGTAATTAAACACAAGAATAGAAAATTTCTTCTAAGTGGCGGAAAACCCCTCGTTCTGAACGTTTTCAATTCGTTATTGCATAGGAATCAGTCGTTACCGGTGAGGCAAATCGTTGAAATTGTGGCAGAGATCACTGGAATATCCGTTTCCAGAATATTGAATCTCTGGAAAGAGCTCATCGTGAAGGGGAACTACAAATCCCAGAGAGAAAAAGAAAAGGGAAGAAACCTATGACGGAATTGCCAGTGCTGCTCGATCAAAAGCGCATTTCTTTTAATTGAGAAACGAACCACCAACGCTTTCGAAATTGTTACAGCATGTGAACAGTCATATAAATTTTACGCGAACCTATTTATACGAATTATTGACATCCGGTTTTGGGTTTCAAAGAAGAGGGAGAAGAAATCTTATCCAGGGCAGGGATGACATTTTCCTACCTAAAGCAGAATGATGTAAATAGCATGATATGTGCATTACAACTCTTTTTCAATATGAATTGGCGCGGTATGCTACTCACGTAATCGAAAGTAGTGCGCTAGGAGTTGTCGAATCAGAAGCGTAGTGTGGCGCAAAGATTTCTTCAGTTTGTTTACAGCAAGGTTTTTTCTTAGGGTGAACTGATAATAGCATGCACATTACGATTACCTGAAAGGTTGGTTACAACTATGGAACGGGAATGTTTTAATGGTAGTGCTTCTAAAACGTTTTAAGTGCATTTGCTAAAAGACAAAGGAATTAAAAATCACTACCAAACAATATTAACACGATTTGTTGCAGAAAATAACGAATGAAAATATTGACGAGGAATGGAATAATATTAAATATTGTGTTACAAAAGCTGCATTGGAAGCTTTAGTTACAAGGAAAAAGAGTTACAAGAGAAGAGATTTGAAAATCTGGAATGAAGAAATTGAAACAATTATAAAAGAAGAATGCCTACTTACGATTCCTGCAAAGTACGTAAGTCCGAAGAAGACAAAATAGAATACAATAGGACACGAAATCTCGTAAAAAAGATCGACCGACAAGCCCAAAAACAATCCTGAGAAAAGTTTCTCAGACTTAAAACATGACATACAGTGATCAGAAGTTAAAAATTTCTGAATAAAAAAGAAAATGAGGGAGCGTACATCCCAACCAATGTACAAGGGGAAGAATGGACAGAACATTTCAAAAATTATGGTACGATGATAACGCACATGAAGAAAACACCTTAGACGAGAAAATCGAAACCGATCTGTTAGCATTATATGAGCTAGATGTAGCAATTGCAACAATGAAGTATAGAAAGCTTGCAGACCGGATGAAATAAACTTAGAGCTATTTAAGTATGGTGGTACCCTTTGTAAACTCCGACTCTTGAATGTTTTAAATGTGTGCTGGTCAAAACCTCATCTACCATTAAAGTGGAAGCGAGGAACGGTTGTCCCTATATATAAGAAAGGAGTCAAAAATAATTGCTCTAACTATAGAGGCAATAGCTTGTTAAATACTAGCAAAAAAATATATATTTAAGAATAATAACAACCAAGAGAGTCCAAACAATTGCTGAACATTACTTCTAGAAGAACAGAATAGTTTCAAGAAGGGAAGGTCCTGTACCGATGGAGTATTCACCCTCAAACAAATTAGTGAGAAAAGCTGAGAAATAAACATAGAAACACACATTTTATTCATAGACCTAGAAAAGGAATTCGACAGAGTAAAAGGCATACACTCTGGACAAGCGTAGAAAAGAAAGGAATACCCAAGAACTTAATAGAGGTAATAAAAAGCTTGTATGATGAAACTGTCATATATGTGAATCTTCTTATAAAGAGGAGTATTTTAAAATAAATCAAGGGGTTAAACAAGGGTCACCACTATCACCTACATTGTTTTATATATATATATATA